CTTTCTTTTAGTTGTGGTTGGGAAGCGATATCCAGTCTGGGCTGACTGTGCACTGGACAGTCCGGGGAGAATGCCATTCCTATGCACCCTATGCAAATGGTGCTCTCTGGAAGTGTTCAGTTTAATCTTTGTGGCTATAAGTACAGACTCTGTGACATATCCCATTTGAAGGATGAAAAAGGAGGAGGGCTGTAGTAAAGTTCTTTAATTTGATTGCAATTTTTCAATAGCCATTTCTAGATTTGCTCATAGTCACCCATCCTTATTATATAGATTAAAATTATGGAAACAGCTTCAGTACCATTATGTTTATTTCACTCTGAAAAATCAACAACCAAATGACAACCATCCAAGGAGCAGGAAAAGGAAGACAGGAGAGTGGCACCAGTTATGGAATACATAATGAACCTTTCCATTGTTTATGTCTTTATAATTTATCTGCTGCGAGAAAATCTTAAAGGATAGTTATTTTGAAGTTTGTTATTGTAAGAGGAAAGCTGAACTGGCCAAGTTGCAACTGCTCTCATCTGTAAAAGTAATTCTCAAAGGAGCTTCCACAATGGATAGAGTGAACATTTTTAGGGTTAGGAAATTCCTTAAGAACTCTAAAGTGGTAATACTTGCAAGAATCCAGAGACTACTCAAATTGTTTTCTTCTGAAGACTCATTAAAAAAGCAAGTGCACACCCTCCAGGGTCATCAGGATGTTCCCTAGTGTTCCTTTTGTGTGGATCCCCAGGAGAAATCAAACACATTCAAGGCAAGGGAGTAACTATACAAAGAAGAAGTAATTTCCTATAATAAGAAGCCCAGTCAGAGCCAGGTGTCTGCTGCAGACAAAATCCTTAAAATTCAGTGGAGGTTAGGCATATCTCACCAGGGTGAGTGTGAATAATTCCTCTTGTTTTAGCTTATCTTTCACATAATATATGGCTAATAAAAGCGTGCTGAACGAATGAATAGATATCCTGAGGAAGACATTCAAATGAGCATTTCACTCTGCATGGTGTATCATTTGTGACAGGCCCCATTATTATATTCTTTGATAAAATTACCATGAAAAATTGTCAATGTCTGAGGCACTAGAAATGCTAATTATGTTGATTGGATTATTATACATTATATACATATGTACATATATATAAATGTTAATAGTATCCCCTAATATGTACAATTACTATGTATCAGTTAAAAATAAAAGTATACTTCAAACGTTACCAAGAGACTGGACATTACTCTGAAAAATTCCTAACATACAAGAAAATACATCTTAGCAAAAATTTTCACATGTCTCAAACAGGTCTTACAATTTTAATATCCATGTTGATCACATAATTATTTTTCCCGTAACCCCTGTCATTTGGTAACATTCTGTTTTACAGCTCCCTTCCATAATCACTCCAAATTGTTTCCCATTCACTCCAATTCACCTTGCTGATTTTACCCTAGTGGTATCTGGACCATAATTGTCTCAGGGATCAAGTCTGATATTTTGTGTTGCCATATCCTATTTATTATATCAACTTTGCTTCAGGCGTTTTCATTTAGGTAGAAGCTGAAAAAAATGCTACAATTGACGTGAGAGGAGAGGCTGGTGTTCCCTCTTAATAGCTCCTACTCATCCCAGGTTGCAAAGCAGGAAGGAATGACAATGGTTTTCTATAACTGGCAGAGAAGGAGACAGACTTCCTGAAAATTATTTGATCAAGTTATCTCTATATTTCTTTAGCTAGAAATCTATTTGGATTAGATTGACTATGAGTTTTTGAAACAGGTAGACTAGGTCCAAATCCTGGTACTTGTTTACTATTCTGTGATGTGGGAAACTGTGAAGTAGTTCTAAAACCTAGAATTCCAACAACTTATTTGAAATTCTTCCCTGGCTAAAATTTTTTTTTTACTAATCCACATCTAAAGGACACAACCTCACCTTTACCTTTCTAGCTTTAGAATAGGTAAGACTATGTAGGAAAAGGTTGTGTCCAGAGTTCTAAGTTTTAATTAAAATACATTTTTTTCATAGAAAGAATTTTCCTAATTGTGGTTAATTTCAAGAAAGAAACCTATGAAATTCCATTTAATAAAATCTCTACATGAAGCACTTAGTAGAAGGAACTGGAAGAAGTCAGCAGACAGGGAATCAAAAAGTAAGATTGTACAAAATAATGTAAAAAGACAATTAAAAGCAAACTTAAGGTAATATAAATTATCAAATTATGCTCTTGGAGTGGATTTGATAATTCAGATATAATATTTCTAATGGGAAATTAATTCTTTTTTTTTTAAGTTCACTTATATTTGTTTTTTTCTCAGTTTTGCATGTTATGCTAGAGTCCTGAGATTTAATTATGGTGGGCTTGCACACTTATATTCTTTTAGAACAACTATTTTATCTCAGTTAAATTTGCCAAAATGTTGCTGACCAACCCAAAGTCCTTAGTCAAGCATTTGAGAGCTCTGTTTTTCTTTTTTTATTGAATATTTTTCAATGTTAAACTAGCATTTCTTAATACGAAAAAAACATGAGTCTACATTAAACTCCTACTAGTCTTGGGATTGAATATGCAGATCTAAGACTATATCTAGAATCTGAATATTCTCCCTGTAGATTCAAGGAAGAATGAGTTCACATTTTGCTTTTATTAATTATTTTTATGGAAGTAGTATGCACACACTAAATATTTACTTTATTCCAGGTATTGTGCTAGGTGCTTTAAAAACATGATCATATTTAATGCTTCATTAGCTCCAGATATAGACATTATTATTATCTTGATTTGAAGATAAATAAATTGAAACTCAGACCAGGTCATTTTTCCCAAGTCCTAAAGTTTCTATTTAATAGAGAAGGACTTCAATTTAGTTTTTATTAAATTCTGAGCCTTCATTTTTTGCAAAATTAAAAATGATTTAATGGTGGTAAAACTAACTCTTTATTCTTTATTTGGAATTTTATTTAATATTTTTCTGGTAACAAAATACTTTTTAATAATTAATTTCATTATTTCAAGTTAATTCTCAATCAATTTTTTGTACAGAATGCTTAAAGTACTTGTAATTTTGTCATGTGACTAAAGACACTGAAATTATTTTCATCTAGACTAATTCATTTATATATAATTTATCAATACAGTTTTATCAGCCTTTTTCCAACAAAATTTCATTGTAATAGTATATGTTAGTATGAATTTTCTTTTGTGAACATTATTACTTTTGTGGTATAAATTAAGAAAATCTATTCTCTTAGTTATTTTTAAGTATAAAATACAATATTGTTAATTATAGGCCACACAGCAGAACTGTAAAATTTATTTACATTGTGTAACTGAAACTTGTTCATATTGAACAGCAACTCTACATTTGTCCCTCCTCTTCCCCATAGAAAACACCATCCTACTTTCTATTTTTATGAGTGTGACCATATTATACACCTCATTATATAAGTTTAATCATGCAGTACTTTTCCATGGCCAGTTAATTTTATCTAGCATAATGTCCACCAGGTTCATTCACATTGTCACCAATGACAGGAATTTCTTTCTTTTTTTAAGGCTGGGTAGTAATAGTCCATTGTATGTTACACAAAATTTTCTTTTTTAATTTTTATTTTTATTGGTATGTGTTTGTGGTAGGTAATGATCACATTCCTCATGGGCATTTGATACATGTACATAAGATCTCTTCATTCTATTTTTACTCCTTTCTTCTCCCCTTTCTCCCCTCTCCAGCTCTTGGTCCTGTTCCCTTTTGCAAGATCTTTATCTGCCCATTTTTGATGAATATTTAGCGTTTTCCATACTGTGGTTATTGTGAATAGTGCCATAATAAACATAGGAGTATAGATATCTTTTTAAGATACACATTGTATTTTTTAAGACTATTTACCCATAAATGCAATTACTGGATTATATGACACTTTTATTTTTAAATTCTGAGGAACTTACACATTGTTTTCCATAGTAGTTCTACTGTTTTACACCAAGCATGTTCAGATTTCCAATTTTCACAAATACTTATTTTTAGTAGTAATCATCACGACAGGTACAATATGTAAGTAAATACTTAGAAGTAATGTTTGGGTGAAAAGCCAGTTCTAACAAACTAATGCATGTGATATTCTGAAATAGAGGAAACACAAATTTTGCAGATGGGACTGAAACCCTGTGGAAAATGGGAATGAAGAAGGTTTCAAAGAGGACATTTCTAAAGCACATATTATATTACTTAATTGAGACTAGCAATTGGTGAATTGATGGCCAGATATTTATTATCTCTTTCATTTTGCAGATGTGTGCTCCTAATTCAACAGTTCTGCCTCCACACATCAATAGATGAAATAATGAATTGAAGGTGTCAATTCAAAGCTTTTGAAACAAGTTTTCTGAGTCATAACTTCTCTGGCCCTTCTTACATTACATTACATCATCAATTCTCAAAAGATGGTGGTGGTGTTCTTACTAGAATAATCTGGAGAAGTGAGTTTTAAATAGAAAGTAGTTAATGAATGAACTAATTTTTTGGGGGGATGTACATTATTATTGTGACCTACTGTCTATAACAATGTACTTTAATAGGGAGAATTTACAGATCTTATGATTCTGACTTAAGAGTGTGAGTAATGAGATAATTCAAACAAAGCTCAAGGGCATAAGTACCTTCCTCAAGTTTGTTAATTGTCTTTAAGTTAAATAAAGGTGGCCAATTTAGATGTGATAATGATTTATTTCTATCGCTCTTTTACAGGCTAAAATTGGGAAAAAACTGCTTTGGAGGATATATTTAAAGCAAAATATCAAATTGTTTTCCTATTTGCTTTCCAACTGCGCTGTTTTGATAAAATTTCCCACATTGACTAAGTGTTAATATTCCATTTTATTTTATACTTGTAAAATACTGTGTTTCCAGTTAGGAAGCTGATGTTTTATGGAGAGCTAAATAGAACAGAAGACTCTTAAAACATAGTTCTAGTTATGTCTGTGCATATCACAGGTTAGAGAGACATGAATATTTCAGATAGGAATAATGCCACTATTTTCATTCATGAATTTATCCTCTTGGGTTTTCTGTGTAGCCAAGAAATAGAAATTCTCCTTTTTGTTTTTTTCTCTATCATCTACATCCTGACTTTGCTGGGCAATAGTGCTATTATCTATGCTGTGTGGTGGGACCAGCAACTCCATACTCCCATGTATACCTTATTGGCCAACTTCTCTTTTCTGGAGACCTGCTACATTAATTCCAATGTGCCCACTATGTTACTGAATTTTCTCTCCAAGACAAAGACCATCTCTTATAATGGCTGCATCCTACAGTTCTACATCTTTCTCTCCCTTGGTGCCACAGAACTTTTCTTTTTGGCCCTCATGGCATTTGATAGGTATGTTGCCATCTGCCATCCACTACACTATCCCATCATAATGACCAAAAAAGTCTGTGGAGCCCTTGTGTCTGCCTGTTGGGTGGGTGGCTTCCTGTGGTCAGTGACACCTGCCACTCTTATTTCTCAAGTTCCATTTTGTGATTCAAATGTCATTGATCACTACCTCTGTGATCTGGGGGCAATGCTGGCCATATCATGTGTACCAGTCCCCAAGACAACTCTGACTTGCAGTACTATCAGTGCTGTGATATTGCTAGTCACTTTGTTCTATATCCTTGTGTCCTACACCCTGGTCCTTCGAGCTGTGGTTCAGGTTCCTAAAGATTCAGGTAGGAAAAAAGCATTCTCCACATGTGCCTCCCACCTGGTAGTGGTGTCCCTGTTTTATGGCTCAGTCATGGTGATGTATTTAAGCCCTGGGGCAGCCAATCAGCCTGGCCAGCAGAAATTTGTGACTATGTTGTATTCAATTGCAACTCCACTTTTAAATCCTCTGATCTATAGCCTCAGGAATAAGGAGATGAAGACTGCCCTGAGAAAAGTCTTCTGTAAAGTTTAAAAATTATTCCCAGATGGGAGTCATCTTGACAAGATAGATTGTTTTGAATTTTAGTGTAAAGAAAAACAGAAAGTTATGCTTAAAAGGAAAAAAAGGTACTAGATTTAGAATACAAGCTTCCACAGAATTTTTTAAAATGGAATGCTAACATAGATTTGATTCTTGTTTTTCATCAAAACTTGCTTGCAAAGATTTTATTAAAGTCCGCAAGTGTATTTGTTGGTTTGCTTATGTTAATATTTTTAATAACAAGCAATAATTTGAAAGAAATAATATCCTTAATTCATCTTGGCAACAAATTTTATTGAAAATTGGATAAAAAGTTTACTATCCTTCAGATTAACACATGATGCTGTCTATACAATATTTCACTTCTATCTCAGAGTTTTGACAAACCTCTCAAGTCATGGAGATTTGCATTAGAGATTTGCAAATTATTTACCAAAAAATTCTAGGTGTGCTAAAGAATTAAATGTGCAAAACTCAATCACAAAAGAACCTTCAAGGGAAAAAATTTCTCCATTTAAGTGTGATGTTAAGAATTACAAGGCTGGGGATTTAGCTCAGTGATGTCACATCTGCCTTGCAAGCACAAGGTCCTGAGTTTGATCCCTGGTACCAAAAAAAGAATTACAAAGAAAAAGATCAGTAAGTACATCAACATTATAAGGATAAAAGTTCTTCAGTGATTAAAAAAGATAAAAGATTATTTCACAGAAACAATGCCACTAGTATAACATAGAAAGGGTTGATATCTACTCTATCATTGAGATAATGGCTTTCATCTGGGGTAAAGGAAATTCCAGTAAACAAGTAGCACTTGCTTTAAGCAATAAGAATTCAGGTGCTTTTCTGGTAGCAAAATTCTGTTATACTGATGTAGGGGGAATAGATGCAACTCCCAAACCTGCTAGATATCTGCAGTCTGAGTTCATGTTCTATAAAACTGAAGAATGAATTCGAGGAACAATGGAGGTTAACAGTAGGAAAAATTTATTGAGAGAAATGTAGCTTCTGTCTAAGAGAGACAGAAGGGGAATCGGAAAATGGGTTGCCTGCTCAACCAACTTCTCAGATGTGTTTTATGGGACAAAGCCAAGAGGTGAGGTGGGTTCAAGGTGGGACAAAACTATAGTCAACTAAGTAAGATCACAAGTACAGTTGCTTAGGTAATATTGATCCAATGAGAAATCACAAGGTGGACAAAACTATGAGCAACCAATAAGATTATGACAAGTCTAATCACTTAGATAATATTGATTAAATGGGGATCCAATAGGGAAACAAGTCTTACAGCAAGCAGTACAAGGAATGAGCAAGGATTTTGGGGGGTAAGGGGTGGGTCAGGGATCTTTTTTGGAAGATCTTTGTCCCCCACCCAGGTGATTGATACCTATTTAGAATATCAATCACTGCTATTCATCCTTAGAAGGAAGCATGTGGGTGTGGTAGTTTCTCTTTTTTTACAATGCTGCCTTTCAGTGAATGTGTCTTGATTGTCCTCCATGTTGGCTCTGCATGCACTGGTCCTGTCTAACTGCCTACAAGATAATCTAGTTAACTTATCTATCTACAATAATACCATCAAGACACCATGTATTTTACTCTTTAAAACAAAACTTTTTGGGTCTTCCATCTTTATTAATAACTATTGCATCTCCAAGCTTCATACATGCAAGACAAAAGAAACAGAAATATAGCTCTGTAGGGTCTGGTTACCTCCTACAGACTTGAACAACATCACAGGGCCAAAACTAGCTGCAGAGAATGCGCAAAAGAGTGTGGGAGCTTCTATCAAAAGGAAATGAGAAAGGAATTAGAAGAGGTGTTGAATGAATCTACTTAAATGTATCTCACACTGTTAAGGACTTATTTTCATCAAGAGAAGATATACATATCAAAATATGCTTTGACATGATTCTAACTTTGGGTTTCTTCCTGTTTAAATTGTAATATCTATATGTATCAGTTCCTGCTGATGAAGGTAATTATTACTGAAGTAAGCAAGTTAACTAGAACCCCCCCCCCCCCATAGCCTCTGCCTGAACTTTACCCTTTTTCCTCCCTGGATTGTTTGTTCAAAGTGGTAAATTAACCAGCACACAATTCCTCTTGTGGTTAAGAACAAAGGACAGGACATGTTATACTGCGGCCCTAACCATAAGATAGGAATTTCGTGCTGGATCCCAAAAATTGGATTTAAATCTAACTTGCAATCTGCTTCTGTACTCCTGTGCTTGCTCAAAGACGAGATCATGACATTCCATTGTGTGGTTTTTCCCTTTAAAAACTGGGTTTCCCCGCTTGCTTAGCACCAAGGAAAATAGGAGTAGGAGCTTGCCCTTGGGTCACCAACTAATTAAAGGACTTTTTAATTTGGACATTGTTCATGGCATGATCTTTTTCGCTGGGAGAGCTATAACAATTATATATCATAAGTGTCAGGTAAAAAAGCTGAAAACCAAGACCAGACCAGGCCACAACATGCCTTTATTGCAGGGATGATCTGCTGGGCTGTCTCTGAACAAAGGAGAAACAAAAGCAATATGGCTGAGACAGGGACTGCTTCTTACAGGAGCTGGGGTGGGGTTGAGTGAGGTAGTGGCTAGGGATTGGAGGAGCCTGGGATGTCACTAGCTGTTAGGAGGACAGCAAGTATTAGGTTACTGTTTTGGTGGGAATAGGGGCAAGTTGGGAAGAAGGTTGTCCTTTGGTGGGAGAAGCCATTTTGGGGTGGCTTTAGGTGGGGAGCAGGGCATTATGGGAGGAAGGCAGCAGCTATTGTACATAGCAGCCATTTTAGGGTGAGGAAAATCTATCAATAAGCATATACTAATAAAAAAGAAACTTAAAAAAATTAAAAACAGGCCCTCCCGCGCCTCTGCCTCCCCCCCCCCTCCTTCCTTACCCCTCCCTTTCCAGCTGCGGCCGCTGGGGTCCGGCTCTCGGTTATAAGATGGCGGTGCTGAGTGGCGGTAGCAGCGAGGAGCAGGGGCAGGCTCTGTTCAACCGGGACTGGAGTTCGAGGCTGGTGCCCGCACGACAGCCTCTTCGGCTGCAGACCCTGCCATTCCCGAGGAGGTATGGAATATCAAACAAATGATTAAGTTGACACAGGAACACATAGAGGCCCTGTTGTACACATTCGGTGGGGAGCATAATCCGCCATCAATATACCTGGAGATGAAGAAACAAAGGCACAGAAAGGTTTAATAATCATGTGGCTAAGATCACAGAGTGTAAATGGTATAGCCAGTAATTGAAGCAAGACATTTTGAATTCAGAGCCTGTGCTCTCAATCATGATGGCATTCTTATGATGCCTTGGCAGCTTTTCTGACCCTGAGTCAGTGTAGAGCCAAGACAATACTGAGGCATTTGAACAACTATGCAATGAAAAGAATACTCAAAGCTAGGTGGTGCTTTCTGTGGAATGCAGAGCAGTTCACTGTGTGTCTGTGTGTGTGTGTGTGTCTGTGTGTGTGTGTGTGTGTGTGTGTGCGTGCTGGCACTTGGTAAGATTTAATTGTATACTGTGAGATTGAGCTCAGTAAGAATAATTATGTATGGGGGGTTAATAGGATTGAATTTAGGGCCCTGTGGATGTCAGGCAAATGCTGTATTATTGAGCTACATCCCCAGCCCTTTTAAAAATTTTATTTTGACACAAAGTCTAAGTTGCCCAGACTGGCCCTGAACTTATGATCCTCCTGCCTCAGCCCCCCAAGTATCTGGGAATATAGGCATGTACCCATATCAGTAAGGATAAATTTAATGAACTAAACGATAAATAAAAGTCTTATTTAATTTTTTCCTTACATTAAAATTAAGTAGACCCTTGGATTTTTCTTTTCCTTTTTAATTGAAAAATAATTCAGATCAGACCAACTTTTTAAAAAGTGTATATACTCATCACCGCTATCTAACTCCAAAACATTTTCATTACCCCCCTTAAAACAAAATGTTTATCCATTAGCATTCATTTCTTCTAGTTCAGAGAAATGACTGATTTACTTTTCATCTCTATGAATTTGCCTGTGTAGATAGTTTTTATAAATGCATTTATCATGTACCGTGTGGCCTTTTGTGACTGACTGGCTGCTTTTACTTAGCATAATATTTTCAAAGTTTATCCATGTTGTAGTATGTATCAGTACTTCATTTTGCTTTATGGATAAATATTTCATCATGTGGATAACACATTTTATTTATCCATTTATCAACTGATGGATATTTGGGCCATTTATATCTTTTGGATATTATTAGTAATTCTACAGGGAAAATTCATATACAGGTTTTGTGTAGACATGTTTGTTGGGTCTCTTGGTTGTATGCCTAGGTACAGAATGGCAGACTCCTGTGGTAACACATTTTGAAGAACTGCTGAATCTTTGTACTCTTTTACATTCCCACCAGCAATGTATGAGGCACCTAGTTTCTTGATAGCTTCATCAACACTTGTTATTTTCCATTTTGTTTTGATTACAGCCATTCTAGTAGGAGTGTATTGGTATCTCAGTTTGGTTTTAGTTTGCAATTCCCTAATGATTAATGATACTAGGAAACCATGTAATTAGTCATTTGTGTATTTTTTTAAAAAATCATCTTTCAACACTTTTGCCTGTTTTAAAATCAGGATTTATATGCATTTCTGTTACTGAGTTGTAAGAGTTCATGTTTTCTTATAGTTTTATAGTTTTAGTTACTATATTTGAGTATATGCTTCATTTTGAGTAAATGTGAATATGATACTAGGTAATAGTTTAACTTCATTGTATTGCATGTGACTATCCAGTTATGTCAATATCATTTGTTGAAGAGACAATTTTTCTCCCCATTAACTTGTCTTGCATCATTGTTGAAAGTCAGTCGACTGTCTTGACTATTACAGCTATTAGTAAGTTTTGAAACAAGTATACGTGCTTCAACTTAATTCTTTTTGAAGATTGTTTTGTTTATAGGAAATGAAATCAAATTCTCATTATTTGCAGATGACATGAT